AATCAACGTCAATCTATAAGTTTCGAAAAGGATAATTATTAATTAATGCATTTTAATCATTTAGGTACTCAAATTAAAAAAAAAAAAACATCATTACAATTGCAGTCACTAAGGTAGTTTTAAATAGCGCCTATTTTATTTTTTATACATAATTTTAAACAAACTATTTTCAATATCGGATTCAGATATTTTGAGCTCCAGTACATCAAGTATTTTTTTCAGTTTTAAAAATATAAATCATAAGTGATAAACAATTAACATACATGATGCCATTAGAATTTACCTACTAAAATATAATAAATAATTAAAGTCATAGCTATCCTACAATTACAAATAAAATGATATTATGCATAATATCTATAAGTACATTACAGTATATACTAAAAAAATATATTCTACTAAAAAACACTAATGATTTTTAAGTTTAAAACTGTATAAGGTACTATATATAATAGTTAATCCAAGAAATTTAAAAAAAACTTAAGCAGGTGACCTCTCTGCCTAATCACTTTATTGCGACTTTGCCCATCATTATTATAGTTAATAATTAAAATATTTTTTCTATATTTTTAGCTAATACCGCACATTAATATTGCCAAACAGAATGATACATATATGCAATACTTTTTTGTGCAGTTTGCAGTGTTAGGAATTAAATAAACTTGTAATTTGTATGAACGAATGCAAAACGAATAAAAATTCTTTACTGAATATAATATATTATAAAATAACTTTTTAATTGAACAAACTTTGATCTTTCAAATGTTAATCTATTTTTGTTTAATGCATTTAGGTACAAAATTACACAGCCAGTATCACTTTAAACTTTAAATTCAATAAAATATTGATATTAATTAAAGGGTAATAATTATTACAAGTTTTATCAAAAAGTTTAGCTCTCAGGCTTCCCTTAAACATGTAACATAATTTTACTTTTTTGTTATCATTGTGTATTTATGTCGTAAATATATTATGAATTCTAAATGTATGGACGATTTTATGTTGATATAGGGAAAATGTACGATATCAAGCCACAAAAACTTTCGGTTCACTCTTGGGAAAATTTCAATTAGCCAGTTCTCACCTAAATCATTTACAATTTTTGTTTGAACAATTTTCAAACAGTCTATTTAAATATTACATTGAGTTCTACAACATAGCATTCTCATTTATTAAGCATATTACGTTTTTCACTTTCGTTATAAAACAATATAAATATCGTATAAAGTATATCAGAGACCATTGTTGCACAGCGTGATTCAACAAGCATGATCAGGACTTACCATATTTATTGACAATAATGTAGTTTTTTTTTCAAATCTAATTTTTGAATTTTTAAAATCCATATTATTTTCAAACGGTTGAGATTTTTGTACTACTTAAGAAGTGTTCTGTAGGTATACAAGCTATTGTTTTTCAAATGAAAGCCTCCATTTTCTACTCTAAATTATTTACCGGATATTATTTCAGAAAATATTGACATGCCAGAATTGAAATTTGAACGAATATAGTGTTACAGTTATTCAACTTTGTTTACTAAGACTTATATTTCCATGATAATAAGTTAGAACGATATGGGAGCTATGGGGATTTGAAAATTTTGAGAGAGTTTGAGAGAGTATCAAGAATATGTAAGAAAATTAATAAAAAGTATAAAACAAAAGTTTTCCATTAAAGCGCATATTCTTAATACATATAATAATATGTGTTATTTAATATATGTACTTTATGGATCACAGGTATAATTATTAATTAAAATTTAAAAAAATTAAATAATGTAAATAGATGAAGCGACGGAAAAATAGGTTTGCTGTTAGCATGTTTTAATATTCAACGAATGTAAAAATATGTATTAAATTTAAACCTATAACTTGCTTATATTTTATAAACTAATATTTTTACAATATTTTTTAATTTTTTTTTTAACCTTTTTGTTACAGAACATATAATTTAAATCTATACATTTTTTGAGGCTTATTTCTATATTTATTTTTATGCTATGTATGCAAATATATTAGTATTTATTTATTTCAACAATGATTCTAGTTTTAAAATTGACTACATTTACGAAAAAATAGTAAATTTTTTTCTAAAACTAATTTGTTGAAACTACATTTTAAGTTCTGACTATTTTTTCTTTATAGGTATCACTTTAGTCTTACATCACAAATATTTATTTGTAATTTATCTTCTTTCGGTATTGTTCAAAAAAATTATATTTTCAGTTAAATAAAATAAAACACTTGCTTAGCGTGGATTAATGACATATATGTGCAAATATATGTCAATTTTTTTTTCAACAATTATATCAATTTTAATTGATTGACAATATTAATTGTCTACCATAGACAGCTAAAATTATTTATAAAATTATATTTACAGTAAACTTATTAAGTTGTGTAGAAACACAGATGATACATCTGTTCAAAATAATAAATTGTAACAATCATTCATATAGTTTTAGTGAACCAAATACCCACTGTTATTTTTTATTAATTTGTCAAATGTTTGCTAAAGCAATATTCACTGAAAACTTTTCAACCATGAATACTTAATAAGAAAGATGTTATATTAGTTTATAAGTTTAAATTCTAACTAACAACACTGATTTCAAACTTAATTAATGTTTTTATAGTTAATGTCTGTCAATTTATCTTACTATTTACAAATTCATACAAAGTAAATTTAAATGTTTAAATGCAATTTAATGTATGTCAATGTAAAACGAAATAATGACATAAATAAGTATTGTTTCTTGAAACTAATTCTTGATAGTGTTATAAGTTTATAACAATTACATATTTTGTTTAAAATGTAGGTAATTTGATATTATATAATAATGTAAGTAGTAAGTAGTTCAACAGTTGTATTCAATTCTAGATTTTAAATAATTCTAAGTCTTATTAAACATATTTTGTAAAATATAAATTAGTTAAATATAATAACACTTCTATGGTTGATTTGTCCAATTTATTACAAAACCATTTCACAACCTGACCTACAGAAATCGTTCTACTTCTTAGACTTTTAATAATGTTTATTGTACGTGATAGCATTGATTTTATAATATATAATATAAAATAAAAATATATTATAAAATCAATGGTAATAGATACTAATAATTAAACTAGGATAGCTCACATTTTAGACTGGTTATTACAGTACCTTCAATGTCAAAATTATTTTGCGAGTTCTTAGTAAAAATATTTTCAATTGCCTATACGGTCTTTCCCGTCGATTCAGATGAATACAAATACTGGACTCAGCCCCAAGTGAAAATTAGGTAGCCAAAATATTAACTGGCATCAACCATCTGTATTATTTTATCAGCCTGTAGATTATATTATATCGGTGATATCGACTCACGTCGAGGTTGCGTCGTCTGTCCGTCTGACTATTCCCGGTTTTGCTCTCGACATTCCAATGTCCTCACGGACACACACCTACACATAACTCCTATAAATTTTTTACGTATAAACTAAGCCGCATAGTCGGTTGCCACGGTCAACTCCGGTAGTGTCCGTGGTGCATAATACGATGCAAGAGACCATCGTGCCTCGTCCCTCTGTTGATAGTTTCATAAATAATAATATATTATTTTGTCTTAATTACTGTTTTGAGTAGGCGTCTGACAGTTATAACTATATTATTATTATTATTATTATTATTATTATTAGGTATTTTTTTTATTCTAAAGTGTAATTTTAAAAATTATATGAACAAAACAATAGTCACAGGACGTTATTCTTATTATAAATAGTAATTATTATTTACTATAATTTTTAAATATTTGTTTTAAATGTTATTTTTCATTTGCTCTAATTATTCATTATCTTGTCTAGAGTTCATTTATTTTGTATTATTACAATATTTTCTATAATTATTGTTTCCTACATTATAAAAACTTGATTTTACAAATAAAAACAACAATCCGGCTCTTTGAGCCTTGACACAGAGTTGGCGACATTGCTAAAAATAGGCAGGTATTTTCAGTCCATAGGTGGTGTAACCTATGGAAGATAATCTAATGGTTACTACAAGTTACAATACTAAGAGGCAAGTCGTACTCATTAGTCTAAAACCTTATAGTTTATAATAAGTACATCAGTACATGATACTTGTCGGTAACTTTATACTGTATTATTTTATTTTAAAAGGTTAGGTTAGGTTCTATCTATTTAAATATCTACTCTCACTGTTCCGAAGTCTTACTTTTTTGAAAATATTTATTTTTATATAATTAAATTAGATTTTAAAACAACAGTTTTGAAAAAAAAAATTTTAGTATTTTTGTCGTGAAAATTTTTGAAGCAATTTACTGTTTTTGACTAACACCATTTTAAATTACAGATTCTGAAGCAATTCTTCAGAGTATTTTAGTCTGTAAAAATCTAATTTTAAATACTTATAATAATTTATTACTTCCCCAACATTTTATTTTTATAGACTGAAATACTCCGAATAATATTTCACTTATAAATATGAAATCAAAAATATATGGTATCATTCAAAAACGTAAAACTTAGAAACAAAGAGTGTGGACACTTAAATGGATCACCTGGATTACGGTGAAAACTCTAACGGTCACTCTCAAATTGCGGACGTGATAACAAGTCTGTAAATTTCCATTTCAGCGAGTCTCTCTTCTATCCATACAGGAGTGCGTTAGTTAGGCGACGACATGGCATCTTTGATACAGTCGAGATAATAATAACAACAACACAAGATGACCTCAGCACTTCACGCTAGTTTTCTCAGTCATTTTTGTATTTTATTAATGTATAGGTATTCTACATTCTGAAATATTTATTACAGTTACGTTTTACAAAAACGTCTAATTGTTCTCTACTTGTTGTCATAATGCAAGGTTTAAATCATTTTTTCTTATTCAAACGTAGAATAATTTTCTAAAAATGTTTTAATTAAGCGGAGTGAAGAGGTAAAGACCACTACTCCGCCCTCATCTTTATTTGAAATACAAATAAAAATTAAAAATTAAATAAAAAAAAAAAAACAATAAAACTATTTATTCAATATCCGATATTAGTAATATACAAAATCAGCTTTAGGAAACCTTAGTTCTTCAAAAAGTGAAAAAGTTAACATTTTTTCTTTTTTCTTTCAAAATTCTTCACTGAAAACGTGCATTGTAGCCATTAAAACCTTTAACCACGCGTGCACCGTACATTTACTGTATAATTATTATTTATCAATACCTCGGCACACTCGACACTCCGTCGGCCGACATTGGTCGCTTGACTCTCTCTCTCTCTCTCCGTCAATCGTCTGCTTCTGCTTCGTCGTCATCGCCGTCGTTTGTCGTCGTCGAGCTATCGGGAGACGTCGGCGGCGGTGCAGGTGTCAGTCTGTTCAACAGCTTCGCTCCAGCGCCGTCGACTATGGCCGCCGCCGCCTCCGGGACCGTTTCCACGAGCTGTTGCAACGTGCAGCAAAACGACCAGCCGGCCACCATGGCGTCGCCCCAGTGGCTTTCCAAGCAAATGTCCAAGTCGCCACATGGTGGGCTGGCCATCAAGCTCTCCGACGGGTTGTTGGAGCATATGAACGCGATGCCGGCGCCGGTAGACTGGTCGACTACAGCTTTCCACAGCCACGTGGCCACCGGCAACCGACCGTCGACTGTCAAGAACAGCGGCTGTCCGTCCACCAGCGTCTGTCCGTGCGTTCCAGCGTACGCTTCCAGCTTCTTGTCGTTCTGAAACGCGACGTGGATTTCCATCTTTAATGTATTTTCTCTCCTCATGACGAATATCATAACTTTAAGAGTTTTGCGAGAAATCGATTAGAAACGAAATGAACTGGCCAGAAAGCATATTTTGGAAACATCGATATTTCCCTGCAAATATGACATTCCGTTTTCCTCAGCTGTTACATTTATCATTTTATTGACTTTCCTCGGAAAAAAAGAAATGCACTTTTTATTTTTTTATTTTATTAATGTTGGTAGGTGAACTCGATTTATTTATTTTTTGAAGAAATGGCTATGGTTAACTTAATCTCCTGTAAATATGGTATCTAGGAACCGTATCCTACTTAAAAGTATTGGGAACGAAATTCAAATAGGTTTCGATTGTAACAGAACGTAATTGTTATGGTTGAGCAGTGCCGTACCCAGAGGGGTTAAAGAGGCTTCTCTCCCCCCCCCCCCAACAATTGGTTGTGCTATGGTATAAATCTTACATAATAAAAGCCAAATTAAAGACCATGATATTTCTGAAAAAAAATTTTAAAGAAACATGTTAAGAAACAATTATCAATTATTTATAGAGATTATTACGGTTACGGGAAGTAATAATAACTAAATAGTATAAGGTAACAGATATTAAATTATAACTAACTTTGTTCAGGATACATGAACAATCCCCCCTCAATTGGAAAATCCTGGGTACACTATTATGGTAGAGGTTGAAGAATTTAACCGGGAAAAAGTCAATATCCAGGAGAATAAATGGTTTTTTTTTTAATAAAGTTCTGTTTAACATGATAAAGCGTCTTTTGACGAAGAAGTTTTGGACGGATTCACAGTATTTGACTTCGTGAATAAGGCTTGAGCTCTAAATAGAATGCGTATTTGAGAAGTAGGTTATGGATCAACCCCATCCTATACAGCTAGGTATATTTTTATGTAATAGAATAAATTGCATCCACTTGACTTGGTGCAAACATTAAATTAGACAATAAAACCATGTGTACCTACGTAGTAATTATTACAGCAATAATCGACAAACGTATATTGTAATGGACAGTATAACAAAAAAGTTTATCTGAAAACATTTACGTTTCAAGTAATACACTACAGTAGAATTATAAGCTGAAAAAAAACAAGAAAAGTTAAATATATAATTTATTAGTTGAAGCCAAAAAAATGCATCTTGCATAGAAAAACGTATTTTATGAAATTATATTACCTATAAAAGATTATTCTATACAATGTAGGTACGTCAACATCATTGTAATTTCGCATTCAAAATGGACGTTATTGAAGAATATTTTACTACAACACATTAAACTGTATGTTGTATAATGCTGTTGTTTTGGTATAATTTGTATATTGTTATTAATTTGACTAGTATAATAACTTATAATATACTTTTTTTATTTAATATCCTATTCGTTCCAGATGACTGACTTGTTTCAAAATATTATACTCTTATCTCTTCTGTCCCTGAGCACATCCCTATGTGACCGGCAAAATGGGAATATACAGAAGTTGTTTTTATTATTGGTTAAGGGTGAAGCCGGAAATTGTTTGACCGATTTTTGACCTTAGGCTTGTGAGTAATTTTTGATCACTCGATATTCTGCGTATGATGGATACACTCGTGGACTATAGACTGTAACAATCTGAATCTCATATAATATTGATTGTGATACAACATCGAAACTTCACCAATGGACAAAAAAAGTTTGAATCTCCACAGAACACTCTTTAAATTAAATACAAACATAAGTAATTGAAAATGTTATCTAAAAGTAAACTTAGAAAAGCCAAAAACCAGAATTTGAATAAATTCATAAAAATGTAATGAATAATGATTTAAACACTGCTTGGTGAATCGCCTTGTTTATGTAATATATTATAGACAGGCGTAAAAATTTTAGCCCTAAGCCAACGTAGTGAAGGTACATCAAATTTTGCGAATGTAACCCACATAACTCCTGTATTGCACCTAGTAAATATCAAACATTATATTATAGTATACAATATAATACATCTTGTTTGCTCACTAATATAAAAAAAGTAACGTAACGTCTGCCTGTTAAATATTACAATGTAGTAAAATAATAACAGTTCTATCGTGAATGCACGTGTTTACAAGTATGGAATTAATAATAATAATAATATATTACAGCATAGACTATGTAACCTCTGAAGCTAATTGATAGTACCTGTACACAATAAATGTAATGCATATAGGACTAGAGAAGTAATAATATTTGTATAACAAACAATATTATAGAATATTATGAACACGATTATTTTATTTTTCTTGACAGTTGTGTAAAGTATTTTTTTTCGTTAAAAGTTAAACAATTGTTTCATTGTAACGAAAAAAAATTTACATTAAAATATTGTAACCAAGCCACTACTGTACATTTTTTTCAATTTATAGAATTTCGATAAGACTATTCATTTGGTTACTACAAAATTCGTTTCGAAAGCACCATGACCATTTTTAAATATATATCTATATAAAACTCAGAAATACTGAACCAATATTTAATATCATACTTACATCCATTGCATAAAATCTAATGGCAGATTCAATAAGTGCCCACACTTGTTGATTAATGAATTTCCATTGAGGCGTTATGTTAGCATAAAAAAACGTTCCCAGTTGCTTATAGTCTTCAGAAAAATCAGCATTGCTTGCTAAATATCCTTCTGTTAAAAACGTTGAATCATTAATCGTATCTTCATCCTTATATATATATCCAAATAGAGCTGCTTGATGATCCTGTAGACAGACATATTAAATGAAAACTTTTAAGAAAATAATAATATATCTTCCTAATACCTATAAAGGTACAAATATTATATTATTGTGATGACACTTCATATGGTATTGGTTTTTTTAAATTTTTTGATTCATATTTTTTCTATTTTTATGAGTACAGAAGTTACACATTTCAATATTATCTTTAACCAAATAGAATCTCAATATGGCAGCTTTTGAAACGTTAAATTATTATGATAACAACATTAGGTTAAGAATACATAATATTATTCACTGCATGGTATTATAGGTAGTTACCAATTGCAGGTTATGGCAAGGTAACCTATGTACATATTTATATTTTAAAAAACAGTTGAATGATTTTTTTAATTACATAATTACCTGTTTTTAGAAATGCATGCCATTTCATGCATGCATCCCTATTTGAGTGATTTCAGAATAGATTAATTTTTTTAATTTAAAAAAAACGTTAACAACAAGGAGTTTAATTTACAAAAACAGTTTAGTTATTATCAAGTATAAACATTTTAAAAGAAATGTAAAAAACGTAGTTTGCATTACTTTTGTATAAAAACAAGGTATATTTTCCGGATATAAATTTATACTTCGAGTCGCAACTGGTGGTATAATCACAGTTACAAACTGTTTAAGAGAAATGCCGTCGATTTCAAATTTTACGTAAATTGTCTTCAATGATACTTCGTCATAACAAATTTCCAAATCAAAAATACCACGGTTTCTTTTAACCTTTAATAACGAATAATTACTCAAACATTTTTTATTTGTTTTCACCAATGCTGAGAGGACACCATGAATTGTTGGTTCTCGATGATCTGATATAAATGGATCACCTGAAATGTATACACACTGTCACAACATTTTTTATAAATTTAGTTTAATACATAGCTGGCCTGACCAACATAAAAATCACGCATACTATGCAGTAAGTACCATATAGGCTGTCAACTACATTATTAAACTACACAATTTCTAATTGTATATATTAATGTATAATTTTGTCATTTTTTTCGTTGGAAGAAGTATAGCATTAGCAAGCTTACTGATAGTCTAACTATTTTTCTTATGCATAAAACACCAAACTGCCCAAAACAGATCTTTAAATAAAATTAAAATCTGCTCTTGACGGATTTTTTGGGGTCTTAGTTAAATCGTTTTTTTCACACATTGTGCACTCTTCAAGTAAAATAAACCATTTCTAACGATTAAATAAAAGCTAATTCATACAAAAAAATATGGTTAAGTCTATTAAAAAGGGTTAAATTTAGGTAGCAACGGATTTAAAAAAAGTGAAACTTTTTAAAAACAAATTCAGGTTGAACTGTTCAACGAAAAAAATAAATTACGGATATACCATCCTGTAAAATATTAATACCATAGTGCATGAGACGATAGTTTAAAAAAAACTCAAGATGAAAATAATAAAAAATTTAATAAAGGATTCTAATGATTGGAATATTTGAAAAATAATAAATGTATTATCTCTTAATGATTGAATTATATCATTAAAGTTACAAATCACATTTTTTTATTTGAAAGAAAATATTTTATTTTAGAATATGAGCAAATGAAGAATATAATTTATTTTTTTCCAATAATATTTTTCCTATTACATTTTTCTATAAACACATAATATGCTACTAAAAAAATATTTAACACACTTAAATCATGATGTCCCATATTTTTCTAAGAGTTAAGGCAAAGAGAAAAGATATCTTTGATAGTCGACAAATATTGAAGAAATGTCAGTGAACACAGTTTTAATTTATTTTTGAAAACCACGATTTTTATAATTATTTTAATTTTAAATTATTTAAAAAGTTAGATAAAAACACACCACTACGGAGGTGTCTTGCCCTAAAGTGAACTAACAATTTTGTAAAAACATAATACTATAGATAAATATTTTTGTTATTATAAATCATAAGATTCTAAAAACAAGATTTTAATGGTCTTTTGTCTATTTTTTAAGTTTTCAATTATTTTAACTATTGGTTACTAAAAAGCATATTATAAAAATATCATCTAAGTTAAATTTAATGCAACAAACATGTGTGTTATACCTGCTTTACACAATTTTGGAATTATTTTGATGTTAGCAGACATTGAAATTGTGAAAGTATTAAAAATAAAAAATATTAAAAACTCCATTTTTATATAATTAAAAATATGGCTCCCATATTATTACATTTCAAGATACTTTGAAATATTTATCTCCTAAAAAACTATATTATTGTAACACATTATACTTGAAAACTGAACTAAGGTTTAAAAACATATAATGAGTTCTAAGTTATGACTAATGGAAATAATACTATGTAACTATTGCATAGTTTTCTACTAGTTAAATAAAAGTTGTTTTTTTTTTTTAACAACTGTTAGTTGTTAAACATCTGTAGCTTAAAAAAATATGGTTATTTCATTCAATTTGAACATTTAAACATTCGGTTTTTGATTGATATTTTTGATAAACATATTGTTGATTATAAAAAAAGTTATTTAATTATTGGATTAAAAGCTGTGTTACCATTGTATTAATTGTATGGTTTCACTTACTACATACTAATAATTAAATTCCTACTTGGTGATCAGGCTAGTTTTTGTCATTCGATTCCATTGTTAATTTCTTTGTATCGGTACTACAACCTATGTGTTGAATGTCACGTATTTATTAAATATTTAGGTAGGTGCTTACAGTTATGATATGCTTATTAAATATATGTTTCCATAAATTAATGAATGATTATATAAAAACCAACTTATAAGAATAAGGATATGTTTTATAAATATTTCACAACTAAGCTCAATTGTACCTACGTTTTAATTAATTTCATGAAATATTTTTTTATAAAAAAAAAACCACAAAGTACAGAATTAAATATATTGCAGTGATTCGTGTTGCCTATTTAATATAAAATAATACAGTGTTTGATGAAAAAAAACACAATTATATATTGTTCTAAATGTCGGAACACGAGAATAAATAAAATATGATTTGAAATTCAACAGAAATATAATATAGACGACCTGAAGTACAGATAAATTAAGTTTTAATGGTTTGTAGAGACACAAAGCCTCGGGTAGTACATACTACATTCACTTTTTATAATATACATGAAATGGAGAACAGTGGTATAATAAGTGAACTTTAAATAACAATAATAATAATAATAAAGATCATAAATATTTATGTTGAGTGGACATCGTTTTTCAAAGTTTTGTACGAAAAAAAAGTATAAAAGAGCCCTCACAACAACACTAATTATGTCGTTAAACTGAATAATGGCAAGTATACGAATTTAATATTGGCTATTCACTATCCCGCATTTTAATAATATATAATATTTAAATCAAATTGTTTTGATTTGAATACTTTCATTTCGTTTACTGAATTTTTTTTATAAGTTATATTTATTTATATATACCAAAGAATTCAATAATTATATACGAATTTGGCCAACTGAAGCTAGTCAAAAATGGCTCTACAGATCTATATATGACGATTATATTACACATATGACATATTGACATATTGTATACAACTTAGTACAAACATACCTTTATTACAATAAAACCGATTGATTTGTACGCAATAATATTATATACTGTTTATACTGTATTAAGTTTTTAGTAATTTTATTTACTTATGTCAACAATGACGAAATGTGTATAGATGTTATATTTTTAATAGCATTAGTATTATAAAATAATCCTATGAACTAGGCAAATGTTAGAATTATTTAGATTTTTTTGTGTTATACATACTGCCTATAACTACATAACACGGGAAATTTGAATACTATTAATTTTTCAGCGCTGAATGAATTGTAATATGTTCCGTTTACGACCTGACATAGTAATATGCCATGGTTAAATAACCTATATAGATACCATGAATATCTACGCTATCGATTCACTACCATTCTCACGTTATATTCGAACTTGATCTTAAACATAAACATTGAAAATTTTTTTAAAATGACCAGATTGATTAAATGACTCTGGTTCAATTAAAATATATAATTTTTACTTGCACATATCTTATACCTACGTATCTAAAAAGGAAAGTAATTTTGTATAATTGTTTTACTATCAGTTGTATGTTTCCTTATAACATGGTACTTGCACTCCCATAAGTCTACGAATACAATTACAGTTTTGAATGTTTTGATAACATGTTTACATTTAATTACGAATACATCCAAATAAAAATTGTAGAGGGATATACAATTTCATTGGCACTTCTATCCAAAAAATAAAAAGTTTTCTTCTCTGTAGACTTATAAGGTAAAAACCCATCTTAAGTGTAAAAGTGAAAACATTATTTTTAAGAATTTTACGAAATTTGTCAAAAACGAAAAAATGTTGAAATTATATTTCAGTAAGAAATTCATCAAATTGAATAACTAAACATTTTCAATGAAAAACAAAACACCCATAAGTTGCTCTGCTTAAAGTCGTTTAAATCGTTGATTCAAATTGAACATAATCATACACACCTACTTACAGCAGAATGACTTTCTATTTTTTCTTTTTACAATATTATTATATTGTTTTACTTTTTTGAATTATTTGTGAGGGTGCAAAATTTAGGTAGGTCACATAATAATGACATGAGAATACAAACAATATTTTTTATTTCCAGTCATATAATAATAGGAACGCATTACGCAGCTAGTTATAGAATTTTTATGTGACCTATGTTTCTATATTTTAACAAGAATTAACGATTAAAAATATTGTTATTATTTTAATTCGATTTTTTTTTTTTTTTGTAATGTGACAATATGTTGTTTATTATTGTACATTATTTTCTAATGCAGTATAATTATTATAATGTCATATTAGTATAAGCATAGAATATTACAAAATTGAAAAGTAATAAGTTATAATTCGATTTAATAAATACATAACGCAATGAAATGAATATGAAATCACATGCAAATCTTAAATATTATTTAAATAAAACAAACTTTAATGAAAATAATAATATATTTTACAAAATAAAATAATCTAAGTCTTAATGAAACCTTAATTAAAACCATCTGATGGCAGGTAGGCAACTCCTAAATAAATAATACACTTTTCAGTAAGTACAGCTCATGAATTATTAAAAATTGTCCAAATGTTTCATTATCGTTACATACTGTATTACTTTGAAAGTATATATCCTATACCTACCTAATGTATACATCTGTCCTTTTTGAAAATATCCACGTTTTTCCCCATGGGTTTTTGGGTTATATTTTGCAAAACTGAGACACATTGCACTTCACTACAGTCACAACATGATACATAGCAAAAGACCTCCCAAGTGATATGTCAGGGAAAATCAATACTTTGAATTTGCTTTATAGTATAATTTTCTAATTCACGTGACTACCTGATACAAGCTGAATAACATAATACGTTGCAGGCGTTTCAGCAGAACTGTGACAAACGATGATATTTTTCATTTGATATTTTATTTACATAACATAATAATAATATGACGAATGAAGACTATACTGAACCCATTAAATGTGAAGGTAAAACTTTGTTTATGATTTAAATATAATCATAGCTTTAAAAAAAACAGTGTATACTTAAAAATGTGGCATATTTAAACTAATAATTGCATCAATCAACTAACAAAATAAATAAGTGCATTTTAAACAGTATAAAATACATTAAAAAAATAAAAAGTATTACCTATTTATTTAGTTTAGTATTCGAAGATTAAGTATCTGTATACTTAAAAATAGCACACAATTAGTTTAATAAGGATATAATTGTATTCTTTTATTATGATAAACAGTTATCGGGAACAATTAAATAACTTAACGACATAGGTAGTCACATAATCAATGTACTAAATTGGAAAGTAAAAGTTATAGTACGTCTACCTACTTGTATTTGTACACATTAGTTTTTGTATAAAATAATAAGGAACATTTCTTATTACAAAAGAGTTATTAGTTATTTATATATTTTATCAATATGGTTGAAACTAAAAGCATTACAAATTAATATCACTAAATTTTAAATATTAGGTTACTAACAATAATTCTCTAACAATTTTCTATAGACTTCAAACAATTTTAATAAATCAATTTATTCAAATAGTTTTTCGATTACTAAAATCGGAACACAAATATAAAATAACTACATAACCTGGGAGTTAATGATTAATTACGCTTATGTGAATTTATTTATATTTTGTAGTTTTGCCTATTGTTCTTGAACGATAATGTTTTAAATTAATTTACTTGCATGGCATTTGTCAAGCAGTATACGAATATACTTATACTAAGACTAAAATCTTATCAACCATTTATCACCAACTAATCTACATTAATTTCTTCGTAGACGTAGTTAAGATGTAAAGTTGATTTAAATTTAAAATAAAATATCGAATGAGTAAAAATAAAAATAAATTTGTAGTTTGAATCTATTTTTATGTTGGAAAAGATTTATTACCCCAATAAAATTATAAGACTTCAATTGTTGCGATGGAAGATATATTTTTTTCTGTCCAATATTGACATACGTACACGGTAAACGTTTAATAAATTCAATCTTTTTATAACAGCTTTTTGTATAAGATTTAATCATCAATGCCAATGTGCCATATACAAATCTATATATTATTATTTGTAAAGGTTTTTTCTATTTGTTAATTGTAAAGTTATCATCATTAAATTATTTACTATGAAATTATGTATAATAAAAAACAGTATTTAGTCTGAAATCAATTTCAAAAGAATATTAATTCTTAATGAAGCTATTTTCGACTAATACTTTACGACTATGCTTTTTAACTATTTAGATAATTAATTCATTGGTTATCACATTTAACTATTTAAGTGTTGTAAACTTGTAACATTTGTATTTTTCATATACTATTTGACTGTGATATAGATTTTACATACTTTAAACATGTTCACTAATGAACTTCTAAACTTATTAGTTGCCGCCGTGATTAACTATCGTTTTTAATTAAATAAATCTACATTCAGCTCGAATGTTTTAACCAGTAACCTATGCACAAAATATCATTCAGCTGATCAGGTACCAAGTACATACTCTTTTTAATTTAATATTTATTATGAATATGTATCCATCACAAAAAAAAAATAAAAACTTATCATTATTTTTCCATCAAATTATTCCATTTTTAGAATCATATTAATACAATAATTATTCACATGATTACGATCAATTATAAGTTAACTTTGCAAAGATAAACGGATGTGCATAATGTATTTCGGCGGGATATTAATTGAAATACACCAGCCGTTATTTAGCCGAATGTTTTGCTAGCTTATTTTTAATTGACATTTACTATTTAAAAAACATAGTTTCCACATGATATTTAATTTCTATGTATAAAATGTAATGTTATCTAATTTATATAAAGTTAAATATTTAATATGATATTATACTATTAGTTATTATGCAGTAAAACAACATTACAATGCTATAAGACCAAAGTATTAAATACAGGTTTTAAATTTTAAATAAATATAATAAATAATACGAATGGTGAAAAGTCAGACCAAAATTATAACAGGAATAAAACATATCCTGCATGTAGTGTCCTCACACATACAATTTTGTTAACATTCGTTTATAAAATAGTATTTTTATAATTTATTGAATATAACCATATTTTTTCATATTTTTTTCTTATACTTAGCTAATCAAATTGTTTTACTTATTTAGCAATGAGGCAGTCTTTTGAACGTAATTTTTCTAACAAAATTAAAAGTTTAATCATTAAATTTCATGTTAAGTATTCATAGAGTAATTTGAATTGTTCAACACAACTATTATATTGTTATGAATTAAAATTCGTAACTTTATGAATAAGTACTTAATATGTATTAATATTAATGTATTAACTTCAAAATTAAATAATTATATGTTAAATCTGGATCTTCGCTGAATAATAATGTAATATATGAGTAAACATCAATTTCATAATAAAAAAAAAATGTTTAGGTACCGAGAACAGTATTCTAACATAATATTTTTCTGATCAATGGCCACTTAGAAAAAATGAAGATTTAAATATACAACTACCAAGAACCAGGGATTCTAAAGAGACTCAATTTAAAAAAGTCCTGGCCAAATGGTCAGGATCGCCCAACTGTAAATATAACGACTCAATTGAGTTTAACCTATATATAATCTGTCCAAAAGGAACTCATTTATCAAATCCAGTAAATGTTGTTTGACCCTGTCACACGTAATAATGCTTATTTACTTACTATTTTGCTTAATATAATTATTATTATTATCTTATTGACTGCTACATTTAATATTTACGTTAGTATATATTATATATATATATAAGTGTATATATCTTTGTTTTAGTGGCTAATGTTAGTAACCGTCACAATCCTATACAACTTGGTATTTGTCATCGGTCGTGGAGTATTCTGGGAGCTGAACAATGCGATGCCGACCATTTGGTGGATTCTGGACTACGCTTCTGACGGGATCTACGTAGTCGACACACTAGTACATGCACACGAAGGTAACCTATGAGTAACACATAATGACTAATAGTATTATATCCATTATGGAAAATCTGGCCTAGGGGGCCTAAGCCCTTTATGAGCTTTTAAAGTATATATAATATATATTATATATATATATATATTAAGAGATATTTTAATACCCAACAAAAAAACTAAAGAATGTTGTAATAATATTATTTATCATCAAATTTAAATAATGTCACTTCGAGTGAAGAGATACATTTTTTTCGAACTATGTTGGTTTTTTAAGTGTTAGCCACCCAGTCCCCATTATTATTTGACCAGATGTTAGATAGATACACGATTTCCAGATACATGATATATATTAGTTTTTCAATGCATAACATATATATTTTTTAAAAAACACTCTGAAATTGGTTATTACAATGAAAACAATTTGAAATTATAAAGTTTTTTAAAGTTTTGATTCATTTTATTGTTATTCTTTTTTAGATTTCTTGCCATAAAAATGTATTATTTAAATTATTTTTAGATTTTGAACGAAGCGATGAATGTATTATTTTTAAAATTAAAATATTTTAGCATAATTTTTTTTTATAGATCATTTTGAGTTTGAATTTCGACGAAATTAAATATTTAAACGAAGATGAAGATGTTAGTCATTACTTCTTTTGTTGAAATTTAAAATTATTATTCATGAGGGCTTAAAATTTGATTATAATTTTTAAAATATATATGATTATACACAATAACATTTTCAAAATGTTTAGATTAATTTTCGGGTTTTCCTTATTTATATAGTTTGTCAGTGAGAAAAATTATTAATTACAATAATAATTGATACAAATATATTTGTATAATAATAAGGAGACAGACTGGCTTCTCTTAGAATTGTTTTTCATATTCAAATTTAACTCATACATGATACATACATATATTACCGTGACATAGGTACTCAGTAATGAGGTACACTTGATACCTACTGTGTAAATGTATCATAGAAAAGTTAACTACTTTCCCTCTTTTTATGTTATGAACTTAACATGTTGTTATACTCTGTTTTTTATAACCTATGTAAAAATATAATATTCTATTTCGATATTTATCAATTAAGTATTAAAATGTATAACTCATTAACTAATCCAACAATTTTTGTTGACATTTTTTCTTTTTCTTTTAAATGTGCCAAAACGTGTTCGATTCTTGAACTGCTTTCTTATTTATTTTTACCACTCCTATACAACAATGTATTTTGAAGAAAGCCGTGGGGACCTGAAAATGCTACCACGCACCCCCTTCATAACCACGCATTAACAGTTAACAAATATCTAACTCACAACTTTAACAAAAACATATTATACCTACTTCGTATCGGTTTGCCACTAATGAATAGAAATATTCTATAACCAGCCATCAGCAAGTATACAACTACGACGTGGTTATTAAAAATAATAATAAATATTAGTAAGTAAACGGCTTTGGGCTGCGTTTCATCAAACATAAAATATTAAATGGTGATTGCAAGACAATTCTATTTTGAAATAACAAGACTAATGTGCGTCACAAATTGGGGATAACCACTAACGTAAAGTATTATACAATTTGTATTAAATAATGTGTGAAAGCAAGCAACAACTACAAATACTGGCTAGGTAGGTGTATCGTATTTTTTTGTTGTTTAAATAGATCTTTTTCGTTTTTAATATGCATATTCAAGCTTCAAATACTTTAATACTCAATAGGTATTTAAAATGTTTAAACAACGATAATGAGTCTTAAGTATAAAATATGATTAGATTTTTTTGTTTAATTAAAATGAATTATAAAATTCATATTGGGTACTCAGAGAAAAAAACTGATACAACACTTGTTGCAAAGTTTTATTTTTATTATATTATCATCGTTATTATAACTATACATGGACATTAACTATCCTAAGAATATGTTGATCTAACGACCAGAGGCCATCCCGAAAAGACAAATCACAAATTCTGCTGATCGCCAAAAAAAAAAAAGCTTTATCGACAAAATAATGTCAACAATCTGTTAATAAACACCGACGTTTGAAAACTACATCATGTGTAGTCGTGGTGTACATCGTCATTGAATAGCTCACTTTTATGGATGACTGATTAAGTTTTAATTCAATGATAAATCATTGTACCAGATGAAAAACGATTAAGAGCGGAGACGTTCTAACTTTTTGGTAACGTTGATTACCAAACACTTAGTTTAATGATAATATTATAATTTAAACAAATGTTCGTATTATTATTTTCTCCCGATACTGGGATATGTATACTTTTGACCTACCAAAGTACAAACTTCCTCATTTTTTTCAAGAAAATAAATATCTTTAAAAATGTAAACAAGTCATAATAATAACATTGTAAAATAAATACGTTTATCGCTCCATTCTTACAATCTAAAATGATGAAAAATATATAATACTGATTTTTTTTTTTAAATTTTGCATTTTAAAAAACAAATGTATTTCTTTAGGTAGTTCATGTCTAATGTGCTTTGTACGTGATACGTTATGCTATAAATTGCATTATACAGGTACCTAATACGATAACAGAAAGCAGTGTTCGCATGCTACCCATCTAATACCTAATAATAATATATGAAATCTCGCACAACCATCCTTAAATATTTTGACTGTACACGGCCCGCAAGGGTTTAACTGATGTTGGTAATTGACTTGACATTTTGTTTGTAAAATCTCTTCCAGAAGACCATACCTTTATTCCTACTCGGCTTGCATGATGTGTGCTCTGCATTAGTCGGTACAACAGTCACGTCGAATTACTATTGAAATATATCAGTCTGATCCCGTCTGGCCATCGCCGCTATTATACTGTATAGGCTGCGTTATGTTATAGTGTTTACCCATACACGTCGAATTGTATTTTCCTAGCGAAACGATAAAAGATTACGAGCAATAAATTCGGGAGACATTTATTCGGAGACAATAAATTGCCCCCGAACCGGAGCCGTTTAACGAGCGCTCTCAAAGCCACTGCAGTTGGAGCACTGTTTGAACAGGTTTCAGAGTGTAAAGAACACGACGGTCGAGTGCGGAAGGGACGTGGGGTAGCCGGGGTGAAAGAAAAAATAACAATAATAATGATAATAACGACAACTCACGATCGCGTGTGCAGTATGATACGAGTAGGGAGGTTTGCAATTCCTGTATTTGTTCGCGATAAACAAGAAAACGTATAAAGACTCGTTTGTCGCACAAAACATACATCGCCGCCGTGTTTGAAAAGGTAATCGACTGAAACATTGGTCTTAAAGACATTTTTTTTTTTTTTTTACAGTCACATTGCAAATATTACTTCGTCGGTAGGTAGGTTAGGTTAGGGTTACACACAATATCTCCCCTTGCAGTATATTTTACTGTTTGTGTCCCTCGGTGGCCGTCGATACATTTCACGAAATGTTATACCGTAGCTGCAATATTGGTATCTATAGCTTTTTTAAACACCGCCTCGTTTACGAGTCCAAGCACACGTGTCCAACACGAGACACAATTTTTAATAACCATGGAAGTCGTTCTGCTGTATAATAGGTTTCGACTGTTTCGAGTGTACCTTTTCGAAAGTAATTAACTTAATAAGTCAATACCACGTACCATACAACGGTACAGTTTGAGTAAGTTCGTGGCATAACAAGCTTTAAACTGTTCTAAATATTTTGAAAATATCATTATGTATGGACAATAATAATAATATTCTAAATGATGAAAAGTTTCAAGTCCCTAAGGTTAAAATTAAGACATAATAATACCCTGAAATTATTATTTTTATCAAATTAAAAAAAAAAAAACACAAAAAAGTACACATAATTATAAAACCAATACCTACATTCATCAGATTCCAAAATGAACAAACCAAATTACATTAAATTGTATCGCTTATGTTATTTAAAAATGAATTTATAAGTTACATTATTACATTAATTTTCACTTCAGTTATTGAATTTATTCATTGTTATACATTTTACCACTAAGTTTTGAAAAACAAAATATTTATAAACGTTAAGTAAACAACAGAAATAAGTTACAATAAAATCTACTAACAACATTGACTATATATTGTACAAAAGTTTGTGTACACATTCAGTATAAACAGATTTACATTCATTCAAGCGTTTTAAACGCAATCTAATAATAAATACTAAAATTGTAAAATCGCTTAAGTGGATAAAGTTTTGTTTTTAAATAACACTTGAGTACCTATATAATTATATTTCCCATGAATGAATTAAGACCAAAATTCAAATTCGCATATTTGAAAAAACATAATATAGGTTCGTAACATTTTTTCTAAAAAGGTACTTGTACTGCTAAAACAGCGATCCCTATAAAACTCGTTTAAATATTGTTAGTAAAACCTGATTTCAATAAATATAAGTATAATTGCACATTAAAATTATTATTCGTAAATGATTTATCTTAATAACGTAGCAATGCAATTTTGGCATTCAAGTGTAAATAATTAAAGTGCTGTGGTGTGAATTCGAAACGTTCATTAACTAAAAATAATTATTACATTTTGTCCATGTTAGTAGACGTTCGAGTACCAGCTGATTCTGTTAGAATAAATCTAAATGTAATGTATTATTTTTAAAGTGTCAAGAGTTAATCAAAGCCGTTGAAAATAAGACTATTAATTAATCATAAACATCAAATGGTGTCGTGGTATTCATAGTTCATACAAAGTTTTTATTATTTCAAAAGTTTAATGTAATAATTTTATTCATTTACGTTCCAAAGACGTGAAACAATTTTACTTACATACCTAAGCCTTTTGTTTTGAATAAATTAAAATAAAATAATATTTCCTATTAAAATGCATTATTAGTTTTATTATTATTTTAAGACAACTTAATTTAATTTTGAATGTCATAATATTTCATAATATTTCTATGCAATTCGATATTTTTTGATTATTAAAATTTTACTTCAGAATTAATAAATGGTAAAATAGTTATAAGCGTTTACCTCGTGTCTTGTACGTTTCAATAA